GCCAGTTGAGGTGGCTCGGGCATCTGGTTAGGATGCCTCCTGGACGCCTCCCTGGTGAAGTTTTCTGGGCACGTCCCACTGGGAGAAGCCCCAGAGGAAGACCCAGGACATGCTGGAGGGACTGTTTCAGGCCTGGGAATGCCTTGGGATTCCCCCAGAGGAGCAGGTCCAAGTTGCTGGGGAGAGGGAAGTCTGGGTCTCTCTGCTTAGGCTGCTTGGGCCCCACAACCCGACCCCGGATAAGCAGAAGAAAACAGACGGACAGAATAATTACAATTTCTCATATGCAGCAAATCACATTGTCACATTGGAAAACATGTTAAACTAGAGAAATTGCATTTTAGTGAATGCTGAGTGTTGATACATTTTGAAGAATGAACTGACAAAGATTAAAAGAAATGCAGAACAAAATCTAAAATCAGGAAAATCATAAAAAAATTGTTAGTGAAGTCACATGACTGAATTTTTATTATTCTTTTTTTGTAATTTTTAAGTCATAATCATTGAAATTACAAGAAATAAGGGCTCAAAATTTTTCACTCAATTTATGTAATAGAGTTTTACTTTTTCTACTCTGCAGGCATTTTTGGCAGTGCACTGGCTAACGAGGAGACAGTCAAAAAAAAGCTGCATGGTAATTGTTGTTTAAACTACTAACCTGCTAAGTGTGTTAATCCTTATCTCACACTCTAGCTTTGTGTGTTTGTTTCAGCAATTGGAAACATTGATGCTGCTACTGAAAAGTATCTACATGCACGCAAAGTATTCAATAACTTGATATGTCTGTTCAGAAGCACCATTGAGGACCCTATAGCACTGTCGGATTTGGATCAACTGCAAAAAATTCTACAAGGTAAAATTTATAAAATTGTTTGGCTTTTTAGGCTGAAAAATGTCTGCTGTGTAATAATGAGGCAGGGACTGTATATCTGATTGAATATGCAGCATGAATACGTATTCCTCTCTTCTCCAGACAAGTGTAGTTGTAATGACTCCGTGGAGCTAAGATCTAAATGCCCAAAGGAAAAAGAAAGTCTGCTCCAGCAGCTGAACCGGGATCTGCTGGTAGCAGTTCAGACCTGGAGCCAAGGATTGGAGGATGGAGGCTTCAAAAGCCACGGTGAGTACACAGGAGTTGGTTGCCTTGTTGGAGAAAAGTGAAATTTCTTTTAATTTAATTTCAACTGTCTTTTCTGCAGTTTCTTTTATTACGGAGCATCTCATTCCTCTTATAATAAAATGGGAGTGGGGAACAATCAACAACTTCCTCTACCAATACCAAGGTGAGAACAAAGACATACAAGCTCTGATTGGAAGTAAATAAAACAAATGATTCATTTTATCTCATATTTTGACACATGAAGTGTTCAACAAAGATGCATTACAAAAAACCCCTATGCTGTTAGAATGAAGGCTGGGTTATAGTCACGCTTTGGATTGTTGCGCAAGCTCCGCGGAGTGCACGCGCTCCTGAGCCTCGCGCTGTGTGAAAACATACCGTATTTCTCGGACTATAAGCCGCGACTTTTTTCCTGAACTTTGAACCTTGCGGCTTATAGTCCGGTGCGGCTTATACGTGGATTTTTTTCTTCAGCCACCAGGGGGCTCTTATGCTCCATTCGCTTCAACCACTCGCTTCAAAAAAAGAAAGGGAAAAAAAGAAGAAAAAAGTGATCGCTTCCAGAGCCGACTGTTGTATCAGGAAGCAGCGATTTAAAGATAGTCAATGGCCAAAAACTCATAAAAGGGGATAAAACAGACATTTTTCACAGTGGAATCTGACTGATAAAAACTTTGGAGCCTAATCCAGGACGACTTTGTGGATAAACGTCGAGTGAAGAGCCGCTGACTTTTTTTTCCCGCATTGCACTCCCCGGGGAAGGAATCCCATGCAGTGACGTATGCTGGAGCGGGAGGGATTTCCCAGTAGCTAGGCTCTGGGTTTCTCGAGGGAACTATGAAAGGTCAGTGCGAAAACGAACGCCGAACAATCACGTGACAGCGCGTCGACCGGTCGACAGCTGAGCGACCATACTGCCAGCTTAGCCGGAGGTGTAGCACCATTTTGTTTTAGCTAGTAGCAGACACGACATGACGGATCTTCAACAGACACGATATTGGACAGTATGTGGACCCACATCACGGATTCGGTGAAAGCAGCCATCAAGAAAACAAACTCAATTCCTGCTGTTATTCCTGGAGGTACCACAAAGTTTTTGCAACCCATGGACATCAGTGTGAACCGTGTATTTAAAGCAGCACTCAGGGGTGAATGGGAGGCTTGGATGACTGACGGGGATAAATCATTCACAAAAACTGGCGGAATGCGAAGAGCGTCATTTCCTGATGTCTGCCAGTGGATTCTAACAGCGTGGAGCAGAGTGAATGAGTCCACCATTACCAGTGGGTTCCGAAAGGCTGGACTGCTACGTGAAGAGGACACCACAGCTTCAGAGCCAGCATTACCCCGGGAGGACAGCACCACAGAACGCAACACTGAACAGATACCGCTGTGTGACGCAGCTTTGCTGAGCTTTTTTAACTCCGACACTGAAGAGGAGGACTTCGGTGGTTTCAGTGCGCCGGAGGAAGATGAATGAGACGTTTTGTTGGACCAGAAACTGTTAAAGAAAACTACCAAAATATGGTCAGTTAAATGAACTGTATTCCTCCGAACTTTAATYCCTAAAGGTTTGCTTTTTATGTTTTGACGTTAAATTCACTTTTTTGACGACAATTTTGGGTGTACTGTTTTTTGTATGTTGTGGGTGTGGCTTATAGTCCGGTGCGGCTTATATGTTAATGTTAGCGTTTTTTTTAAATGGTGGGTGCAGCTTATAGTCCGGTGCGGCTTATAGTCCGAAAAATACGGTAGTTGACGTTCATGTTATCGCTGTTCTTCCGTCACCGACAGACGGCAGTACGGTGCCAAACCAGCGGAAAAGTAGTCGGGAAGAGTGTAGAAGAAGAAACGCTTGACGTCACACAACAAAGTAACAATATTTACCTCTTTTTTATATTATCTGTTTCTCTGTGCTTCACGAACTGAGAGAGCAACACTGGTTTGTTTCCTCCAGGATCACAAACTGGTCGCAAATATTTTTCCATGTCGTCCGGCATATTAACTCATCTTACTTTAAAGCCGTTACTATTTCCTTCCATGAGTTTTGTGCCATGTAGTTGTCTTTATGATCTCTCATGGAAGGATCATACAGATGCCTGTACATTTGGACCTGTTCAGCGAGAGCACCTTCACGACGAGTGGCGTGCAGCCTTTGCAGAGCTTCAAAATTTCTGAGGTGCACGACCACGTGTCAGGACACAACGCGCGGGGGCGGGGATCCTGTGATTGCATAACTTTTGATGCAAACCCCTCGCGCCCTGTGCGTCGCGTCAACTATAACCTATGCTTTAGAAGAAAGTTTGCTTTAGGCTCTGTTCAGAGACGTACATCAACTGATTAATGAACCTTGAGAATATAAATAATTTTACAAAAAAAAACATGTTTCAGGAAAAACATCATGGCATGATGAACCAACATTTGTTTTTTCCCCATCATTAAGTTCAGCAGTTAAATAATGGGCTAGTTCCTTTAAATGTTTGCCTTTGCACTCCTAGAGATAAACTCTAGTTAGATATCTAAGATAATTTGACTTGTCAAACCTGGTCAAAATTATTCAAAACTGAATACAAATGTCTGAAAACACAGTTTACAGTAAAATTATATAACTAGAACTATCTAGAACTGTAAAATTTAAAACATATGCTTTCAGTATCTGTCCGATCTGAAATAGCTATCCATCCACCCCTTATCTTGTGCTTTTTCCGAGTCGGGTCCCAGATGCGCCGGCTTCAGCAGGGAATCCAAAATCTTTTTCTGTCTCCACCTCTTCTGGCTGTTCTGGGAGGACTCCAAGGTGTTTCCAGGCCAGACGAGAGACATATAGTCTCTTCAGCATGTCCTAGGTCTTTCCTGAGGGTCTCTTTGCAATCAGACATGCCTGGAGCCACCTCCCTTGTGAGCCTTCCAAGAAGCATCTTTACCAGATGATCCACCTCAGCTGGCTCCTCTTGATATGGAGAAGCAGCAGCTCTATTCTGAGTCTCTCCTGGATAACAACTTCTCACTCTATCTATAAGGGAGAGTCCAGCTGCCCTGCAGATAAAACTTATTTCAACCTCTTGTATCCACAATCTTGTTCTTTTGGTCACTACCCAAAGTTTCTTGGCCATAGGTGGGGGTAGGAATGTAGACCTACCAGTAAACGGAGGGATTCACCTAACAGCTTAGCTCCCTCTACACCAAAACAGATCGGACCAGTCTGCAAAACTCCAGAAGCCGCACCAGTACATTTGTCAAACTCCTGCTCCATTCTTCCCTTATCCGTGAACAAAACCCCAAAATACTTGAACTGCTACACTTGAGGCAGAACCTCATCCCAACCTGGAGAGAACAATCCACCCTTTTGCAAATGAGGACCATGGCCTCAGATTTTGAGGTGCTGATTATCATTTCAGCAGATCTGATCCACACTCTGAACCCTGCTGCCGTGGAGCTTTTTAACTACCTTGGTGACCTCAGCCCCAGTTATGGACAGACCAACCCCAAAATCCTGGAGTGAGCTTCCTCCATGAAATACTGTATGTGCCATTGGGATTAAGGAGGTCAGAAGTATTCTTTCCACCTCCTGACGACGTCACTGGTTGTGGTCAAAGGCACCCCACCTTTACTGAACACATTGTTAGTGAAGTGCTGCTTTCTCTGCCCCAGCCACCGGATGGTTTGCCAGAATCTCCTCAGAGCCGATTGAATCTCTTTATCCAAGTCCTCACTGAACTCTTCCCTCATCTGAGCATTTGCCTCAGCAACAGCCATGGGTGCAGCCCACTTGGCCTATCCATACTCCTCATTTGCTATCAGTGTCCTACTAGCCTATAAGGCCTAGAACTATTCTTCAGTTTGATAACCTCCCTAACTTGAGGTTTCCACTGCCAACTTCGAGGATGGCCACCATAAGAAGCACCAACAACCTTGTGGCCACAACTCAAGACAGCTGCTTCAACAATTGAGATGCAGAACATGGACTCAATGTCCCCCACCTCATCTAGGAGGTAGTTAAAAATCTCCAGGAGGTGTGATTTAAAAATCTCTCTGATGGGTTCTTCTGCCAGGTATTCAAAGCAAACAGTCACTGCATGTTTGGGTCTACCGGGTATGTGCAGCATATTCCCCCACCAACTCACAATCAGATGGTGATCAGTTGACAACTCAGCTCCTCTCTTCATCCAAGTGTCTGAAACATGGTGTTTGAGATGTGCAAACTGTGATCATCAAAGTTCATCAACAGAAGACTACTCGAGTTTAGATCAGAGAAGGCCGTTCCTCCCAGTCACACCACCCCCAGGTCACATTGATGTACTGAAGTCCCCCAGCAGAATAAGTGAGTCCCCAGCTGGAGCATCTTCCAGCACCCTTGCTAAGGACTCCAAGAAGGCTGGATATTTCAAACAGTCATTTGGAACTAAAGTAGAACTGGATAGTTTTTAACTTTTTTTTATCATAAAACTAAAAACATCTAATATTTTAAGTGAATTCTTTGTATTTTTAAAGCAAAACTAACATAATCACTGTTTTATTTTTGTTCCAACACTGGGTTCTGATGATGATAGAATCCAATAACCAAAACATGGATGAACCTTTTTAGTTCATATTCTCCAACTCTTATGTTTTCAACTAGGGCTGGGCGATCCATCCATCCATCCATTTTCTGCCACTTATCCGGGATCGGGTCGCGAGGGAAGCAGCCTAAGCAGAGAGACCCAGACTTCCCTCTCCCCAGCCACTTGGATCAGCTCGTCCGGGGGAATCCCAAGGCGCTCCCAGTCCAGCCGAGAAACATAGTCCCTCCAGCGTGTCCTGGGCCTTCCCCTGGGCCTCTTCCCATTGGGACATGCCCAGAACACCTCACCAGGGAGGCATCCAGGAGGCATTCCAATCAGATGCCCCAGCCACCTCAACTGGCTCCTCTCGACGTGGAGGAGCAACGGCTCTACTGAGTCCCTCCCGGATGACCGAGCTTCTCACCCTATCTCTAAGGGAGAGCCCAGACACCTTGCAAAGGAAACTCATTTCAGCCGCTTGTATCTGCGATCTTACTCTTTCGGTCACTAACCAAAGCTCATGACCATAGACGAGGGTAGGAACGTAGACCGACCGGTAAACCGAGAGCTTTGCCTTCTGGCTCAGCTCCCGCTTCACCATGACAGACCAGTAGAGTGCCCGCATCACTGTAGATGCAGCACCAATCCGCCTGCCAATCTCCCGCTCCATTCTTCCCTCATTCGTGAACAAGACCCCGAGATACTTAAACAGCGTTTTTATACTGGATTACTTTGGTTAATTCTGCGATTACGTCTGCGTTTCCTTAGCAACTTATAAACGGAGGTGGAACAGGAGAAGGTGGATTCTGATTGGCTGTGGTCGCGCACATGTCTGCCATGTTTGATCGAGTCAGAGGCTCACAGTTGATCACCGCGATCAACCTGAATTTTCTCGATCAGTAATCGCGATCAAATAATCGCCCAGCCCTATTTTCAATGACAGCAGGCAGCTATCTTAAATGTAAGAGTTCCCCTAATTACGTTCTTTAGGAAGGAAGTATCAACAAAATAAGCGTATCTTTAAAACTTGGGCTTGAATAAGAATTTTAAACCATTTGATTTTTTGCCATTGACAGATTCCTCAGTTCCCCCTTACCTCCAGTCTAAAGAACAGTTTCACCTGATGGATGCTGGGCTGCTGATCAATGTGCCTTACCCTTCATTTCTGGGGGACAAGAGAGACATTGATCTGATTATTGCTCCAGAGTACAGCGCTGGAAACATGTTTGAGGTAATCAAAGATAAGTGAACTCAATATTACAGGTGTTTTAATGGGAAAATTAGAATTTATCTTTTTTGATATTATTAACTTTGATAGTAATATAAC